TCACCCCCGGGGCTGCGCGGGGGGCTGGGTTTTTGGAGGAACCAGTTGCCGACTGTGGTGCTGCAGTGGCAGATTGCGATCTGCGTGGAGGCCCGAGCCTGCTGCCCCAGACCTGCGCTGCGGGTTTCGGGAGATCTTTGGAGATGGGCTGCTCTGAGGTCTGTGACTCCCCAGGGACCTGCGAGTGACTCACGGATGGACTCTTGCTTTGCGTGCATCCATATTGCACTTAGCTCCCTAGATCCTGCTGCTGCTTCGTAGCCCTTGGTGACTGTGCTGATGTAAAGCCACCTTCCTGCCTGAACCTGTCCCCAGGCCTGTAGCAGCCACTGCCATGCTGTGGTCATAGTGAGCAGCTAGCTGGCTCCTCTCGAATTCAGCTCTTATCCTGTAGTAACAGCCTTTTGTAACAGCCGTGCCTGGCTAGTGGTGTGCAAAAATATTACCTTGGTGCATTGGTGTCTCTGACGTTTGTGAACTTAATTACAAAACTACAGAGATGAGTATGGTTCTTAAAGCTCCATTTCGGACACATACAGAAAGCTTTGACAGGAAAGATACATGGATGTTGCTGACTACTGTATGTTACTGCTCTGGCTGACTGTCACAGGGATACAGTAGAGAAAAAGTGATTTGTAAACCACAGAAATTGCTAGTCGACAGTAGGGACTGGTGTCTGTGCAGAATTCATAGCAAAATGTAAATGCTGTCATCTCTTACATGGATATAAATGAAAAGAGTCCCTATCTTTTTCTGTTTCACCCCACCAATATTAGTATATTCAAGTATTACATTAACAGCAGGGTTTTTTAAATTTTTTATCACAGTTGTCAGTCATCAGGTGATCTGTAATTCTTACGAGGACTACTTCTGTGCATATATTCTTTCTAATAAGGCATTTAACTGTGCATGCTGGTCCCTCTGTGTCTTTGTTTTTCATCTCTTAATATCAGAACAGCTTTTCTTCTACAACACATTCTTGTGATCTGTTTGATCCTCTTAGCTGAGCGCTACTTTCTTACTCGATCCCTGGAAAGAAACTTGCTCCAAGTGGTCATCTATAAGAGCTTGACTTAGCCCATGCACCTCATCGGCTAACTTCTACAGACTGTGCCTTTGCATGGGCTGCTGAGAGATGATAGTTTCTACATGGCCTTTTAGCTTGGCTGACTGGCTGTGGCGCTGCGTAAGTTAGAGTTGCATTCACAGAATCACAGAATGTTAGGGGTTGGAAGGGACCTCGAAAGATCCTTGGAGTTGGTAAAGCCGTTGCCATCCTGTACAGTTTCGGTGACTTTGACTAACATAACTAGAATTGGACTGGGGCCTAGCATTCAGGAGGAGGCAGGGCAAGTTATTCAGAGAAGTAATTTGTTTGGGTTGCTAGACTGAATGGTTGTATTGCACAGAGTTACAGTAAATGCATAGGAAAAAGAAAAGAGTGAGTGAGAAGGGATTTCCATCTGTCTTATGATGGTTTTGTTTGTTTTTAAATGGCAGATGCTTTCTTTACGTGTCGAAAGAATGTGTTTCTGGCGAAGAGCACGTCCACCCAGATAGAAGGCGTCTTTGCTGCAACCAGAGGAAGGTCGGTCCCAGAAGAGCAAGAAGCCCTTCTCCAGCAGTGGTTGGAGGAAGGAGCAGGGAATTTGCCAGCCAGTGAGAGTGCTCCAGCAGTGGGGAAAGTATCAGTTACGCTCACTAGTGACTGGTTAGAAGGTTCAGAGCTATTGATGACTAGCCTCAGTGACCTGAATTCGGCTCCAGAAGTCGGCCGGTGTGCTGGTCAGCAGCTCACAGAGCTACATGCCTTGGCTTCTTCAGAACCGCAAGATCATGCAGTGACTGAATTGGCAAAATTACCAGCAGAGGAAACAGTGGCTGTAGCAGGCAGTGCCCCTTGGGCAGCTGTGGTGCCACAGACAGATCACCCAATAGCTGGCTGTGCCACTATCAGTGTAGAAGTGCAGCATGAAGACCCAGCTGTGCTGGCCTGGAGTTTACCACGTGATGCAGAGACAATGCCAACGGTGCCCTCAGCCCGGCCCATTCAGGATACGGTACAGTTTTGTCCTCTCCCGACAGAGGTACCCTACCATGGTCAGTAGTAACAGCTCTGAATCTAATGTTCGGTTTGGGATTTGCATTTGTGGTGAATGTGGTCAGGTTATTGTGTCTGGGCTTGCTGTCAGTAAGACACTGATTGTGTCTGTCCATGCAGAATATGACAGGATCTCCTAGTGAAAACTATAAAGTGAGTTTTTGCTGAGGGAGGGCTGGTGACAGCTAGTAGTCTCTGTGCTATTAGGCTGTCGGGTCTGAACATCAACATATGTTCATTTCCCAGGAACTGTTCCCAAGTGCTGGCTTTATAATATAAAAAGCACCCAAAAGCTGGTCAAGTGTGCCAGTATGCTTGACTCTGGTCTTCTGTTATGCCATCGCCATTGACAACAATCCAAAGGCATCCAAAAGGAGCACCTGGAAACCAGAGCGGGTGAGGGTTTGCTCAGAGGCTAGAACACCCTAGCTTAGAGAATGAGAATGGCTGTTTTCTGGATCCCAGGGGAACAGAAGTATCAGCAGGGTACCCAGCATGGCTGTAACTTGGCTTTTTGTCTCTTGCATATAGAGATTTTATGGAGAGACTGGGAGGATCTTTCTGTCCGGCCCTGTGTGCTAGAGCAGGTCTCGAAGAACACTCCTCTCTTTGAATTTCGAGTCATGTCTTACAACATTCTTGCCCAGGACCTGGTGGAGCAGGGCCTGGATCTCTATGTACACTGTCATCCAGACATCCTGAACTGGAATTACCGCCTTCCAAACCTTTTGCAGGAGATCCAGCACTGGGATCCTGATGTGAGTATGACTGAGCCCTTCCCATGTCAGTGTCACCAGAATTTGAATTCCTTGTCTGATCT